TCTTTCGGAGGTCAGGAACAATGTCAGACACACAAGCGCAAGTCCTGGCCCCACATCGGTGTGCCCACTCCAGTGATCTTCCCCAGACCTCATCCTTCTTTATTCTAGATGAGACATCCCTCATCACTCCCCTTTGAGACCCTTATCCCCTCTTACGTAGATGGTATGATCTAGAGACCACCTTTCCTGTCACTGTCACGTCTGCTTCCATCTGTGCTGACTCTGGACCCCCGCTTCTATTGCTCCACCTTGTCCTAGGAGCACCATCACCCTCCATGGCTTCCCATGCATCTCTGGAGGGGTCTCCTAACCTGCAGCGGAGCCATCTTGGCATAGTTGTTGAACCGTCTTTCACATACCACTCTAAAATTGATTCCACAATTATTTGTTGAATTCCTAGGAAATCCATGAGCTGCTGCAGTCTTCAGTGAGCAAATTGGTTATATAAAACCAGTTATATATTCCTCGCCAAGAAGCCACAGACAGGCGAACACATAAGCAAAGCGTGGTACATCCATACAATGGATGATTATTCAGCCCTTAAAAGAAAAGGAAATTCTGACACCACAGATGAGCCTGCATGACATTATGCTCAGTGAAAATAGGCCAACGACCTGTATGATACGATGCTATGACATGAGGTTCCTGGGGGAGTCAAACTCCAGACACAAGCAGAGCGGTGGTTGTCCGTGGCTGGGGTAGGGGAACAATGGAAGGCAAGTCACTGTTCTATAAAATGAAAAGGGTCTTGGAGGTTTCAGCACCGTATGAAGTACTTCGTCTACTGAATTATAATACACCAGAAACTGGAAAGACAGTAAATTTGATGGTATGTGTAGTTTACCTTCATAAAAATAATTTTTAGTCCTGACCTGTGTATCCTTTTCTTCATATTATGCTTCAGTAAAAATGAAGGCACTGTTGTCTTCATGGAACGTACATTCTAGAATCTAGACTGCAGGCCTCCTGTCAGGGTCTTCCTTACATCCCTTCACCAGAACAGCCAACCTCCAGGCTGGTACAGTGGTCACCGGGCTGTTCCTCCTCCCCTACGCCGCATCGAAACTTCACCTGCGCTTTAAGGCCTGCACCGCAGCGTCCTCCCTGCCCTGTTCCACGATTCCCAGTACCTCTGCCTTCTGCGGGAAACAGGCAGAGGCAGGAAAAGCTCTTCGGTGCTTGGCCCAAGGCTGGGCCTGTGCTTGCTGAACAACCTCGTGTAAGCTTCGGCTTCCTCACCTGTCAAGACATTCCCAAAGGTGCTTGCTGGCTCCAGCAGGGAAGAAGTGTCTGGCCCAGTCTGGTGTATTCCTCCGGGCACTGTGAACTGCCTGAAAAGAAAGGCCTCTTTCAGGAGAGGAACCCAGCCCAGGCCACGGCTCCCTGCAAGCATTCCTTGGCTCTCTCTCCAGCCGCCCTAAACATTCACTGCTTGCAACCTTGTGACTCTGGATTACCTGACCTTGAATCCTGCCAACCCTGCACTCCTGCTGAGACCTCTTCTGACCCAACTGCCCGTAACTGGGGCAGCCTTGCCTGCTGTTACCAGGCCTCCCTGTGGCTGTACAACCAGGGTGCTGCCAGCTCAATCTGAATATCCTTGAACATCACTGCAGCCCCTACTGATGTGCCTTCCTTGGCCCTACTCCTGCCAGTGTCCTCTGAGCTTCCCCAGTCTGCTCAAAGGAGTACAACTGGTGGTGATTGATTCATTCATTCTACAAACGTTCACTGTCAGAGACAGGTACTGTTCCAGGCAGACACAGCCATATGAAAACAACTGCTTCCCCTACCAGCATATTGCACTGCCAGGACAAACTTCCCTACTGGACAGAGACTACCTAATTCACCACTGTCAAATTATTTCATTCGACAGGTACTTACTGAACCCTTAATGCGAGCCAGGCACTATTTTAGGCACTGTCATAAAACAGCAGTTTTGGAAGTACAACTTTCTATGTAGTACAATGATTAACAGCATGGGCTCTGTGAGAAGGGAGGGAAAAGGAGAGGAGGGAGAAAGAAAAGCGATCAAGATATGATACGTGCAGATACCACATCCCCAGGAGGAATGTGTTCTTTATGTATCACAAACATATACTACTAAAAGGTAAATTAATGAAAGCCTGGATTTCAGCTGTGTGACCCTAGGCAATTACAAAACTTCTACAAGTCTCAGCTTCCTAACTTGAAAACGAGGATAATGACAGCAAGAATAAATGAGACCGTCCATGTAAAATGCCTACAGCCCTGTCTGGCACAGAGTTCCTGCTGGAGTAGTTTTTATTTTGTCGTGATACCACAGGTGCCAGCACTTAATATGCCAAGAACTTCAAGAAATGCTGCCTCACCCCACATAACCAATGTCCCGATTTTCTTGGTAGATGATATTGATAAATGTGGCTCTAACTTCATCACCAACAAAGATTTATGCAGAGTACCAGATGCAGTATGATCAAAAATAAGGGCAATGTTTAAATTTTTACATTTTTTTTACAGGGCTGGGGATATAGTTCAGTGGCACAAGCGCCTGCCCGGCAAGCACAAGGTCCTGAGTTCGCTTCTTGGTACCAAAACAAAAAAAAAAAACACTTTTTTTTACAATAAAAAGACACACTGCCATTAAACCCCCCCAAAATACTACCCTTAGCTTCAAACATGCTTATCCCATCATTCTTGCCACTTTCTGAAGCAGTTCTTGAAGTCCTTGTCTGTGCTGTGATGGCTACGTTGAAGTCCTGAATCAATTTTAAATGTTTACATTTCACAATCATTTTGACTTTGAGGAAGAGCCAGAAGTCACACAGTGCCAGATCCGGTGAAGCAGGAAGGCACTGGACTGTGTTTATGAGCCTGCCTTTCCTCTGGCTGGCACTCAGCAGCAGCATTCACCATATTTTTATCACGAAAGACACAAAAGAGGACTCCCAGAACTACTTCAGAAAGTGCAAGAACAACAAGTATATTTGAAGCAAGGGGGAGTATTTTGAGAGGAGTCAATGGTAATGTGTCTTTCACTATAATAAACATTTGTGACAAAATATGGAGAACTTGCCATAAACCACGGACAGTGTCATTAAAATGTACATTTAGACCACAGTATATTATTCCATTGCTATCAAAACAGGTACAATGAAACGGGTACAATAAAAAAGGAAGACAGTATCAATACTAAGTATCTCACAGTTATCAATACTTGTCCAAGTATCTGACAGTATCGAATACTGGTAAGCACTGGTGGCAATCAGAATTTTCCTACTTTATTAGTGGGAGGGTAACTGGTACAATCACTCTGGCACTATCTTAGTAAAACTCTGATCCAGCAATCCCATTAAATACACACCCAACAGAAGTGTATATCCATACTGTGTGTATTTATATTCATAGCTATGTATGTTTTCCTAGTCATAAAAACATACAGACCATATGATCATATAGACCATAACAACGTGTTGGTCAGTGACAGACCACAATATACAACAGTGATCTTGTAAGACTCTATTGCCTAGGGAAACTGCAGCTCTCTTGGCTTTATAGGTCTAACCTACGACGATTGCAAAGCAACAGAATCTCCTAGCAATGCGCCTCTCAGAACAAACCCCTGCAGTTAAACAACACCTACCTATATGTGTATACGCATACATACATGAGTCTGTGTGTGTATATATATGTGCATCTGTTTATTCACCAAAAGACATGTACAAACACAGCAGCATTGTTTGTAACGGCCAAAACCTGCCCAGCCCAAACATCCACCAGCAGTAAGCAGGGTAGTAAGTAGTGATCTATTTATAATATAGAATACTACATTGCATGGAGAATGGAAAACTAAAACAGCACAAAACATGGATAAATATCACAAACAAGATGAGTAAAAGAGGTCAGACTACAGATGAGACACACTGCGATTCCATTTATATAAAGCTAAAGAACAGGCAAAACTTCTCTCAGGTAGTAGCAGTCAAGTAGCCACCCTTAGAGTGTGGTCAGTACCTAAAAAACTCCAAGGATTTAGTAATGTTCAGTATTTTTCCTGATTGCTGATTATAGCTGTGTACACCTTGTGCTGAACACACATGATTTGTTCAGTTCTTTGTATGCTTGTTAAATGTCAATTTAAAAATCATCCTTAAGAAGTCTTAAGACAGATTTAAAAAAAAACTTTAAAAGACAGAAGATAGACTTTGATCTAAATGGGTCAATACTCCAGTATCAACAGATTTTAGCACCTTCAACCCTTGCCTGTGAAATCTGAAAGACATATACACATTCTGGGGTATTTTCCTATGCATTTTAATAAATGGTAGCAATATTAAAACTTCAATATCATATCCAAGAAGTACATGTTTTCAAAACTCCAAAGTGAATTTTTCCAGCCTTAGTTCTGTGAGAAGGGATCTGAAAATGTATTGGGCTTAAATTTCCAGTGGCCGCCAAAACACGGAGGAACTCCAGCCTGGAAACTGAGTCCACGAAGAAGCCAGGGTCTAGGAACAGGACGGTAACCAGCGAGGGACTCTGGGGCAGAGGCAAAAGAACATGGAATGCTGACAGAGGAGCATAAGTCACCAAGGGGTCCCGAGAGGGATGACCTGAACTTCCTGACCCCGTGGCAGGAAACTGTGGCTGGGCGTGGGCAGCCCTGGATGCAGAAGGAAGTGGCTTCAGTGGATCACACAGCAGAGGATGTAACCTTGGGTGTGCTCTGCCTCATGCCAGGGATAAGCAAGACAGGTTTACCCGGAGGTCCTTTGTCTATTGGGTGTAATTTCTAAATATATACACACTCACCCCCTTGATCCATTCAAATATTTACCATGACTGGACAGAACCTTCCAGGCTTTTGGGTTCAGTGGCCCCAGCTGCTAGCTAAAACAGTGGTAATCTAGAACCTGGCTACTAAGCCTCAGGCATCATCTGAGTCACCTGCATGAGAAGGGAGGCAGTGAACCTGAACTAGAACATCAAGAATTTGCCAAATAATAATCTATTCCCCAGTGACTCCCACTAACAGAGGGAAACATTTTTTAAAAGGGCATCTCAACATCATTTGCAAATGCTTATTCTAAGTAGATGTGTCTTCTTAATTATGTAATTTGAGTTTATCCAAAAAAAATGTATCTGCCTCTCCCCAAAGTAGAGAAACTGAACAAGTATATGGGACAGAGGGAAGAACATCAAGAATCAAACTGGAGGCAGAGATGCCTGTTGAGCCCCAGGAAAATGTGGGCACAGCTCCCAGGATGCCTGGCCTTACCTTGCCTTCTGCCCTGCCCAACTCCTCCCTACCACGCTCATTAGGTCTTCTTTTCCGGAGTCATACAATGACAACCTCACTCTATGGCATCACAATTAAAGAGGCTAGGCAGTGAGGTCAGATGGAAAGCACCTTGAAACCTGCACTCAAGTTTGAAAAATCAGCATATTCTAGAATCCATACATAGCTCCCCTCCCTTCACTACTGTGTTAGTCAGCTTCCTCTTAGTGGACACAACCCCCAACACTCACACTTTAAAGGAAGAGAGGTTAATGTGGCTCACGTTTTAGGGAAATTCAGTCCATGGCTGGCTGGCTCCAGGGCAGAAACACCATGGTGGAAGGCTTGCTCCAGAGTAAAGCTGCTTAGTTCATGGCAGCCAGAAAGCAGAGCATGGGAACACTGTCAGATCAGAAGGGGCAAAGGACTAGACACAGACTGCAAGGCCATGCATTCATGACCCACCCACACATACCCAGAGGTGTTTTCCCCTAATTACCCTGGTGGATCCCAAAGTTGATCAAGATGACATTCTGCACTAACCACTACAACCATCTATGGCGAGCAAAGATCCGTGCTTTGAAGACTCTTCATCCCCCTGTTCTAGCTGGAAGCAGCCTTGCCAATTGCAGGAGGAGGTGCTGGCAGATGAGAGCTGCACCAGGCGGCTGAGATATCTGGCAACAGGTTGAGTCTTTTATCTTGGAAGCAATATCATGTTCTCCAGGGCAATGAGTATGTGTTTCCTGCATTTAAGAGAACTTTAGCAAGCAGAACTCCGTTCTGCAAGGCAGAGCAAACACTTCAGCTACAGAGTAAAGAAAAACAGCTCCAGGCTAGACTCCCATCATTCCCACATGAGGGCTGCTTGCAATGGCTTCTCTGATGACCTTACAGTTCATTTAAAGGTATCAGCACCTAAATACATCAAAAGCTGAAGCCTGTTTTGGTGCACCAGGAACACAACTGCATAAAGACACATACGTGCTTAAAGGGTAAGAATCCATACAAGGCCTTATCATGAGATCTGTGAGAGATTGGTGACCCGATTCCTAAACACGGTTACTGTAAGACACTGAAGTATTTTGCTAACAAGTCTTCTGTTAAAGGCTGACGGGGGCAAGGAACAAGAGCAAAAGACAGAGGCTAGATAGTCTCCAGCCTCCAGTCATCGCCAACAGAAGCACACAGCTGACGAGACGAACTCTCAGGCTGTTTTTACAGAACTGTGCCCCTCTACCAAGGCTGTAACCTCTGCAAGGCTAGTATCTGGACTAAGTAACTCTGCTGTGGCAAAGGCTGTTCTGTGTATCGATACTTAATGGTGCATCTGGTCTTATACATACCCGTAACACTTCTTGCTGCCCTTTTGTGACAATAAGAAATGACTGCAGATATTTCTAAATATTTGCTGAAGACAGGGGCAGGGGCTGGGGGTACAAATTTGTTCTTGGTTGTCCCCTCTAGAAACACTATAAGGAGCTAGCCTAACACTATAATCATCCGCTTAAAGGAAAGGATAAAGAAAATTTAGCTGGTCATTGTCTCCTAGGGACACTAAGAAGGCAGAAGTCCCCAGGCAGGTGATCCGCATCAGATCTGAGTACTGGCAGGAGGAAGTCCTAGAGGAAAAGACAGGTGCTCTATCACCCACAGACCTCCACTCTCCCACCCCACAAAACCTACCTCTCACAAGGCTTAGCTGGCGCAGAGTCTCATGGTTACTCAACCCCACCCGAAGTCACTTCAGGTGCCGAGCAGAAACCACTGTCTACCTGGCTACATCTCTGAGAGGTACAAAGTACATCTCAGTCCTGAAAAACCTGGCTCAACTAACCATCCTAGCTCTTCCCTTTCCCTGACTCAGCCACCTTGACCAAAATGCCAGCTACCAAGCAAACAAACAAAAAAAACCTGCCAAAGCTCCAAGTCCAGCCCTCCAGCGCTTTGGGAGTCAAGAGTGGCAACACCAGCCAAGAGCAAGAAAGAATCCTTAGCTCAAGGTAAAGATTCAGACTGAGAATTGCAGGCACACGAAGGAGGGACAGGCAGTGGGATGATGGTGTGGGTGGAGCCTCCAAGTCTACAAGGGGCAGAGCCAGGAAGGCTCTGGGACAGGCCTACTGGCTTCCAGCTTTGGAAGCGGAAAGATCCTGTGTAACCTCGAACTTGCCCAAGCAGAGACGACACTGACTGCATTGCTGACTATAAATCTAGTCCACCCGAGGCTGGGTTTGGCTCGCTCTGGCCGGCCCCCCATCAGCTACAGTTTTGCTAAATTTAGTGCTGTTCCCAGCCACCCAAAGGACACTGCTCTTCGTGTCCATTTCAGGTTCAGCCGGGGACAGACAGACAGGAACAGGACTTGTGGAGAAGAGATCTGCCCTCGAGTGACCCTCTCCCTTCCCTGCTGAAGTCAGGGGCCTGAGGGGGCCGAAGATGTGAAACTCTGCAGTCAGAGGTCTCCCAGGCTCTAGGAGGCTCTGCCCTCAAGGTGGGACCCGTGGGAAAAGGAGCACTGATCCATGACTGTCACCCGCCTTCTGCCCACTTCTCCACATCCAGGTTCCACACTCAGGGAGACAAAGAGTTTGGGGTGCGAGGGCTCTTGCTCCCTCAGGTGCCACCTGGCATGGGGGTTGATGGACAGGCACACCGAGGACAGACAGCGCCTCTGCAGCATTCTGGATAATCAGAGATAGAGAGGTATTCGGTCAAATATTCCAAAGCCCTAAAACGGAGGGGAAGTCGTGGTTCCTAGACCTGGCTGCGTGCTGGAATCGCCTGGGGCTCCCAGACATCGGAGGCCCATGAGCCTTCTGCCCCAAAGGCTGCGAAGTGTCAAAGATCCCAGCTGACTCCAAAGTGCACACAAAGTAGGAGGGGCTCAAGAGTCGGGCTTCTGCTTTCACAGAGTTCTGCTTCAAGACTCTGGCCAACCACTTCCTCGCACATTTATACGCCTTACTTCACCCACTAGAAAGTGCACCTAAACCAGAGCGCCTGTCACAGGGCCGTGTGAAGCAGTACGGAGACAATCCTCAGGTAAGCATGCAGTGAGTGCGCACACAATCAAAAAGGACGGAAGGAGAAACCTTAGTGCTCGGTCAACACCAAGCAAAGTCTAGGACTGCACAGACTTTCAGGACGTCATGGGCCATCGGCAGGACCCCGCCCGTTCTCCCACCTCCATGATCCATTCCCCCACTTTTCTTCTCTTCCCCTTCCCCCACCTCCCTAAATCTTAATAGCCAAGGCCCAACTCTGACCACTCAGGGCTCCCTCCCTGACTACACATCACTGCACGCCTTACTTTAGAACTTCACACTTGGTACTCTGAACGTTAGGTGCCTGAATGAACATTTAAACATACGCAAGCAACAGTACATGCCCTGAGGGAGGGCGAGGTTCTCCTGCTCCTTTGCGCTCCTTACCATACTGGTCTGTGCACACAATTCTGCACTGATATTTGCGGGATGAAAACACATGTTGAGCCGCAGAGCTAACTACACAGGCAAGGATCCAGCTCCAGGGTCCAGGGAAGCAGGGCCAGCACCCAAGGCCACGGTACTACATGCTTCCATGCCAGCACAAGGATGTGCCACCACCCGTGCCATCACAAGAGACCCTGCTGATCATCTCCCCAGGACTACAGCTCCTGCCACGAACCCACTGACCCCTAAGACTTCCCAAACCTGACAGCAACCAGGCAAAGCCCAGCTCTGCCCACATGGAGACCAAAGCAGCTGGCCAACCAACAAGCTGTAAGCCTCTTACAGATTAAAGGTCCTAATTTAAACCTCTATGGAGGTAGGACAAGTGGGTCAGCACTCTGCAGGCCAGCGGTGCTGCTGGGAGAAGAGAAGCAGCTACGAGAGTGGAGGAAGGCTCCTCCTCTGCAGGACAGAGCACTGGGGAAATTACCACGGAGGGCAGCCAGCTCCCCGAGACCCACCAGGACTCTGGGTGAACTCTGACCTCCCTGCCCACAGAACCTGAGAAACAGGAAACCAGAGGCAGCGCAAGCCAGTCAGGACGGCCTTCTTCGCCCTGCCCTGCCCGCACTATGTGGCAAAGGTCTCCTGCTAAAAGATAAATCACATGTAAAAAGCAGGGAAACGGCTAAGAAGCCAGGACCCAAGAGGAGTGGGAAGGGGCTGGGTACACCACACTCGGGGGAACCACTCCCCAGGGCGACAGGGTGGGGGCGGCCTTTGCTCCTCACCCTGCTGAACCTGTGTAGGCCCTGCTCTCTGGCCCTCTGCAGCCAGCAATGCCAGGGGCAGGCAAGCACCACCGACAGCCTGTTTCATGCTGAGAGAGCCCGACTCTGGCCATGCTGTGAAAAAACACCCTTTCCCCACACCTGTCTCCACGGAGATGGCCTTGGTAAAGCAGCCAGAACCCACTGTCCAAGTGAAGAACAAAGAAATCCTCACTGGATGTTTCTCCCACATTCTGGACCCAGACCCACAGCAAGAAATACATGTGATGGCTGGGCCTTGTGGTGCACATCTGTAGGCAGGGATAGGAGGACCTCAAGCTCAAACCTCACCTGGGCAGCTTAGCAACTGTGCAAGACCCTGTCTCAAAGTAAAAAGTAAAAGGGGTTGGGGACACAGCTCAAAGTGAAGGGCTTGAATTAAATCCCCAGTATCGCAAAAATATGTAAGCAAATAAATAAACATGAATTTTACATAGTGCCCCTTCACACACATATATGTGCCTTTGTACATGTTTCTCTCTGTCTTCCTCATATGTAAGAGGAAGTTTCATGCAAGAATACACATCTTTATCACCTACTGTGCAATCAGATAGTCTCTGTAATACAACCCCTTGCATTTTTCAGGCTGGTCTTCCATGACACTGATTTCACCAGCACCTCAGCCACCAAGCGCTTCCCCAGCCACATGCCTCCAGGTCTTTCCATCTGACCACTGCCTGTCTCAGGACACAGGGTCCACATGCTCTCCTCCTGCACCCCAGTGGAGCATTGGCGCTGGACCAGAATGGTTCCCCAGGGGAGAGAGCTGCCACACCACCCTGTCCAGCACCCACTACCTGCACACAGCTAGGAACACAACAGCCGAAGGGCTGACCCTGCACTGTCCACCCGGTGCTTTTCCTTCCAACAGCCCAAGTGCAGATCACATCCGCTACAAACCAAGAGGCCATAAGGTAAGGGAGTAAGTTTTTACCTGATGCTAGAGAGACTGTTTTCATAGGAATTTTTTTGACAACAGGAAAAAAGAATCCAACTTTAAACTAACTTTAGCCCCATCTTCCTGCCTTTCCAAGAGACCTGTGAAATCTTGTCACCTGCTCCTCCAGACAGCCCACCCTGATGGGCCATAAGGGCTAAGGAATTCTCCAAACCCTGGACCACAGCAATAGGAAACCCTAATCATTCCTTTCCGCATCCGCTGTCCTCAGAAATGCAGCCTAAGGCCTCTTCCCATCTGTAATTACTGCCTGGCTGCGTATCAAAGTTGGAAACATCACAGGAAAAATCACAAGCACTCGATACTCTGAATTGCTTTGGTTTTAAAGGTTAATTGTCAAGGTTTTTCCACAAGTAAATTTTTGTGTCCTTTGGTGAAGAAAGAAGGTGCCATCTCACTCGGTTCCCTCCCAGGCAGAGACAGCCACTCTCAATGACCTCCAAGCTCTCAGCCACCAACGTGCCGCTCTTATCAGTGTCCTCCAAGCCCAGAATGCCTCACTCAGTCAACTCCCCAAGACCCCAGGAGAAAGAAGTGTCTTACTGCAGTCTGATGTGGTTAGCTGGCCTCCTGCAGGGTTTCTGAGTGGACCTGGGACTGCTCCTCGGCGTACACCAACTTGCGCTGTCACGGTTTCCCCAGAGCTGACAGCTTCCATGCCACCCTAGGGAGAACCTGCCCCAAAGGGGTTAAGAGACAATGAGACTGGTCCAAGCCTCCCACAGCCTCTCCCCATGCACAGCCCCTACCACATCTGCCCTCTCTGAGCAGAAGCATGCCAGCCTCCCCATCCCAACAAGTCACTCCCTCCTCCCCTCTGGGTCCAGGATTGCACTTCTAGGTGAAGCCCTGCCTATCCCAGGACACCCACTTATTAACAAACGCATACTTACAAAGCACTTGATGGGACACAGCACCAACTGGGCTCTGGCGAACCAGCCACAGACAGCGTACACGAGAGCTTCTGGTATTCAAGAGACACCTCCACTCCATGCCCACCCGCTTCTGGCTACCACAACACTGTCACATGCTTTCCTGCTTTAACCCCGACTGTAGGTAAAAGTATCTTTCTCTCCCACTTTTTCCTTCCTTTCTTTCCCTTCCCAAACCCACCACATGCAAACAGAGAAACGGACACAGGACATCAGTCAAAGAGTGCACAGATATTGATGGGTCAGCCCTGGCCTGGGTGGCAGACAGTGCATGAGGGACAGGCTCTGTTCAGTGATGCAGGCTCCAGGGTACCAGGAGACTTGTCCCTGCTGAAGCAGGAAGCACAGAGCATCTCTGTTCCCCAGCCACAGCTTACAGCTCTTCTGGTTACTCAGCTTTTAAACTGCACTTCTGGTCACAGCCACGGACAAAACAACTCCAACTGTATGTATGTACCCAGCCCTCCTGGCTCCTGCACTAGCAAGGTAGAGGAGAAGTGTGCTTCTCGACTGTCTGCACAAATACTCTGAGCGTTCAGTGTAGAGACAGAAGCCACAAAACAAGAGGTGGCGTGAAGATAAACTAAAAGCTTCTGCACAGCAAAGGAAGTATCAGAGGGAACAGACAACCTGCAAAATGGGAGAAAATATTTTGCAAATTATTCATCCAACAAGGAATCAATATCCAGAACACAAAAGGAAAGTGAACAGCTCAACAGAAGAAAAAGAAAGGATAACCTGATTTAAAAATGGGCAGATGACCTGAACAAACACTTATTTAAAGAAATGATCAACCATGTAAGATAATGTTCAACAACATTAACCATCAGGGAAGTGCAAATCAAAACCACAGTGACATATTCCCTTACCCCAGTTAGAAGGGTTATTAACAAAACAACAAAGAACCAGTATAGCATGGTGCATGCCTGTGATCCCAGCTACTCAGCAAACAGGCCAGGGGATGGCAAATTCAAGGCCATCCTTGGCAACTTAGTGAGACCCTGTCTCAAAACAAAAAACAGAAAGGGTTGCAAATGTAGCTCAATGATAGAACACTTGCCTACCATGGTGTATGCAACTTGTGCTATCAGGGTTCAATCCATGAGTTCAATCCCTAGTACTGAAGAAAAAAAAGAAAGAAAAACATTGAAGTGAATGTAGAGAGAGGGGAAGTCTCACATGCTGTGGGTGGGAATGTAAATTAGTACATCCTTTTGGAAAGCAGTACTGACGTTCCTCAAAAAAACCAGAAACAGGACTAGAGTACCGTATGAGCCAGCAACCCACCTCTTGAGCATCACAGCCACAGGCACTGAGATCAGTATGATGAAGAGACATCTGCACACACATGCTTACTGCAGTGGTGATCACAACAGTCTCGATAGGGAGCCTGCCTAGAATCCACTGCTGACTGCATGAGGAGAACATGGTACACACTCGACGCAGTACTAGTCCACCCTCCTGCCATTTGCAGCAGCACAGAGAAAACTGGAGGATGTTATGGTAATGATATAAGTCAGGCACAGAGACACATACCACATGTGCTCATCTATATGTGGAAGCTGGAAAGCTGACCCCTCAGAAGTAAAGAATAAAGTAGTGAGCACTGGAAGCTGGGATAGGCACGTGTGAGGGTGGGTGGAGAGATGATGGTGAATGGTTACAAGGGTGCAGTGGGATGAGAAGGGTTATTTCCAATGTTCTATAGTGCTGCAGAATAACTACAGCTGACAACCACTCATTGTCTATTTCAAAATAGCTAACAGGAGTTTAAATGTTCTCAACACAAAGAAATGATAAACATGAAGTGATGAATACAGCTACTACCCTGATCTGATAGCTATACATTGTATACACGATATCACACAGTACCCTAATAAATACATACAATTACTGTGTGTCACTGAAAATATGTAAGTGCATACATTTGCATATATGTTCACACACACACACACACACACACACACTTATATACCTATATGGAAACACATTTGTTTTCAAGAGTGTCAGTTACTGGAGCTTGCATGGCAGTTCTCCCGGCATCTTGCCAACTCAGTTTCACAGTACTTTCCATTTCCTAAATCACAACATGGCAGTGGACAAATAGCTACCACATTTGTTACCTGCAAGAACCAGAAAGATGCACAGTCACCAGCATCAAGACCACAGTGCTCTCTTCCTTAAAGTTGAAAAAGCCTTCAACACTGCTGCACAAATGGCTTTGGCAGCTACTAAAGAAATCTGGCTACTCTACTTCCTTGTCTAAGAAATGCAGCTTTATGTTACTGGGGTCAGAGAATGGATCTATTCTCCAGAACTATGGGCCAGCAAGTACTGGTGACACGCAGCTCTGTCAAGCACTATGTTCCACAACCCTCAAGCAGACCAAAGGCTGGCTAGGGAGGCAAGCTTCGGAGAGAAGAGACTCTGCTCTGGTATGCATAAGAAGATCCATGAAGATGAAGGAGATTTAGAATGTCTTTTTATTTAAAAATAAGAGATTAAGCCGCACTATTACTTAATACATGATACATATGCTCCTTACTTTGTGTGGGGTGGTCGCTGTCATTTAGGTTAGGGGATGCTTGGTCTGAGCAGGAGGTCAACATGTGGACCGGTGGGCCATGTCACTTCACAGCATCCATGGGCCCAGATAAAGACACCATCTTCAATACAACAAATAAACGTCCTTAGTAATGAGGGGGTGGGGCCTGAGAATCACCTGGCCACGCTGTCCCTGATTACCTCATGGCAAAGTAGGAAGAGCACTGCCTAAGCTAAACAGGAATCACACTTTCAATTAAGTATTTCATACCTTCAAGCAAGTATTTCAAAGTCTGCTGACCTCTTATGTAATGAAAGCCTATCAGTAAAATGCTACTTCCCAAATACTTTTCAAACAAGTATTTAATGTGTCTTTTTAAGTTGAAGATATAATTTTCAAGTGGCTCAGAAAGCCATTATTCATTGAAAAAGCATTTTAAAAACAGGCTGTCAGGGAGCCGGGGAGACAGCCTAGTGGCGCAAGTGCCTGCCTGGCAAGTACAAGGTCCTGAGTTTTATTCCTGCCACCCCCCTCAAAAAAAAAAAAAAACAGGCTCTCAGAAATCATTTGCACCATTATGTGATTATGCTGCCGATTTCTATGTAGTGACGTCATCTCTGAAATCTCCTATCTATACACACACTCAAATGAGAATATCCAAACTTATTTTTAAAATCTCCCAAAATGGTGTCTTGAACCTATTTATTAAACATATACAAATATACAAAATTTTCTGATGAGTTTGTAAGAACAACTAACTGCCATCAGGCAAACTGAAATGTCTTAGCTAAATTTCAACAAAAAATCCACAGAGACTTGTAGATGTGACTATAAAAAGCAAGAATCAAGATCTAGGCAGTATAATATAGGATGTTTTTCTACCATAAGGATCTTTGCATCTTTGTGAGGTCTTTCAAAATATACTAACTTGAGCAATAACTTCACACTGTTAAGTAATACCAAGATATTCTGAAACAATAAAGCACACTCAATTATACTGTTCTTACTTATAATCACTCGATAATTCATTCATTTAATTCTTCAGCAAACCTCTTTCCATCTGTTACATGTGCCTGCACTATTTTATGCTCTGGAATACAGCAGGAGACAAAACTAATTCAAAAAATAACTGTTCTTACAGAGCTCATATTTCAGTGGGGAGAGAAAGAAAATATACTAATAAGAAATATACAGTACATTAAGTGGTAGAGATGCAAACACTGCCTGAAGAGATACAGGCAAGGCTAGAGAATGTCAGGTGGAGCGGTGAGCCCACTGAAAAGACAACATCTAGGCAAAGGCCCAGAGGACGTACAGAGTCAGCCATGAGGCCATCTTAAGGAAAACCATTCCAAATGGAAGTAACCTGACATGAAAGGTCCTAGAACAAGAAATTCCAAGTATTCCTGAGGAGCAGTAAGAAGATCAGTAAAGCTGGGGAAAAAAAAAAAAAAAAAAAAACTCCAAGGGAAGAGCAGCAGGAGCTCAGGAACTGAGGCAAACTGGAAGCAGGTCGTATAGATCCGCATTACTCAATATGGCGGCCACCAGCCAGGGGAGGCCACTGAGCACAGGAAACCAGTGGGTCCAAACTGAGACAGGCTATGAGCATGACTTAACGCAAACCACAAAACAAAACAGTGCAACCTAGCTGGGAAACAAAAGTATTTCTGACATGCTAAGCTGAGTAACATACATGAAAAGCATTATTAAAATTAATTTCAACAGTTTTTTCACTTTTCCTTTACCAGAAAAATTTAAATTACCTATGTGGATGGCCTGTGCAGCTCCTGTTGCATTCCCTTTTTTTCTTTTTTCTTCTTTGGTGACACCAGATATGGAACTAGAGCCTCAAGTGTGCTAGACAACTGCTCCACCACTGAGCTACACCCCAACCTCTCCTGTTATATTAATATTGGGTGATGCTGATACAAGCTATTGAGGCCCATGAACCACAGAAAGGCCCATAACTTTTACTGAGCGAGAAGCAGCCCCTGTAGGGTTTGAGTACAGCAGGCCATGATGGGACTTCTGCTTCACAGGAACATTCTACCTGCTGAGGATTCCAGCCTGCAAGGAGTAAAGGAAAAGCAGGTGAGAGATGCCAATGGCTCAGACCAGGGTGAAGGCACCAGAAGCAGTTCCAAGAGGTCAGACTACGAGCATATATTATACAAGTGGAGTGAACAAGATGCACTGATGGATGCAGTAAAGGACCACAAGAAAATAAGCCAAGTATGACCAAGGGTTTTGCATGAGCACCTGGAAGATGCATTCCCATCACCAGCATGGCAAGCCTTCAGGAAGAACTTGTGTGAGTCAAAGAAATTCTGTTCTGCATATGTTCAGCGTCGGACATCTATTAATATCAACGTTGAAACGTTAAATAGGCAGCTGCAGACACAGGTCTACAATCTAAGAGAGATCTGGGTTGGAAAGATATAGTTGGGGGTCATCAGCATGTAGACTTTCTTCAATTTTCATTAAGAAAACTTTCCAACATAAGTAAACTAAGAGAATAGTATAGTAAACTTCCAGACAGCCATCACTGAGAATCAACAGCGATCAACTCATGGTCAGTGCTGTTCCCCTCCCAGGGTTAACCCAAAGCAAAGTTTTGACACCATGCATCCATGTGGTACTTAAAGCCATGAGCCGAGAGAGGTCCACGGAAAGGATGGGAGCCACAGGGAGTTGCTCCACAGCCTTCTCACATTCGGAGGTCTGGGAGACATGAATCCAAGAGGCAACCACCCACGAAGCAGGTGGGGAGTCAGACATGCAAACCCAGGAGGCCAGCTGAAAAACTGCTCCAAAGAAGACAGCATGACCCAGTGTGCCAAACCCCACTGAAGAGCCACCAGGATGACGACCAACAACAGACTACTGGCAGGAGCTCACCATGGACTTCATCCAAGTTGGTAGCAAGGGTGGAGGACTCTTCTTGGGGCAGAGGCTGGGGCAGGTGGGGCTAGAGGTGGCTCTTTTGTGATGAGAACACCAGCAGCCAGGGCAATGACTCAGTAGGTTATGCAAGGAGCAGGGAGCATCCTGGGACGATGTCCTGAGTACAGGACAGGGGCTGCCCTCTGACTGGACCAGCAAAGGTTCATGTAGGAAGGAAAATGAACACAACACACATTACTAGTACAGCACTGCTGTATGTAAGTTATAAACACACACAGGAAGCTGTTCGGAAGTTTTATCTGATATGTGAAAGTATGAAAATAACTAAAGACCATTTAAGTACAAGAAAAACAAAACATATCATCAAACTCTAAACCATATAGCCTTCAGTGACCAGAGTATACTAATAATACTAACTTCAGTGACCATGGTATACTAATATGCTACGTATTATTACATTAAGTATATAAAAAAGATCTAGGAGAAGTAAAGGTCTCTGTGTCTAAAAACAAATTTTACTGATTAATATTCTTATAAAGGACTTAGAAAAGCTCAGCATAGCAGTGGACACCTGCCAGTGCTCTGGCTAGAGTGTGACAAGTTTAAACCCATCCTAGGAAAATTACAGAGACCCTATCTGCAAATAAAAAATAAAGCAGGGAGCCAAGGATGCAGTCCAGTGTGAGGGCCTGGGTTCAATCCCCAGCATCACAAAGGAGATGGACTCCAACACAGTAACCTAGGAACTGCAGCACAGATGCATTTGACTCAAAAGAACAAAAATTACAGTAAGAGCCATGGACCATTTTCAAACTTAGAGCATCAGAGGGATCAAACGAAAGTCTCACTGTTGACATAGGAAAATGTAAATTAGTTAAAAGTTTTATCAGCAAGACAGGTCTGAATTTCACCATTAGATTATGCTACTGCAACAGCATAGATACCCAGTACCATGCAGTTCTACAAAAAACAGCAAACCAAGAAGGGGGCCTTCATCTCTGTGGCTGCCAGGAGCTTAATCGGGGCAGACAGAAGGCCCAATCCAAACTGCAGTCCAGAGTCGAGGAACATCCAACCTGCGCACATGTATGGTGCCACTCGGCCCTCGTCAAGCCCTTTACCAATTTAGAATGCCCTTTCAGTGTTTTCATTTAGCCTCTCTGTGACCCATCTTAGGTAAGCTCACTATCTGAACTCTCCGGCCTGTATACATTGAAGTGCAAGAGTGTTAAAGGACATACACAACATCAAAGTAGCGCCACTGCTAGCACACAGGCTGGAGACATGCTGGCCACACCAGCCACACCCGGCTTCGTGGGAGACCTGTTATCAACCACCCACAATGACAGGCTGAGAAAATGAACACCAACCCCTGCCACGTGGCAGATCAGCCATCACAGAGATGACGGTCACAGTCACACAACTCACACGGGAAAACTGGTTACCCTGGCTCTGTGATAGTCAGCCGGCCCTGCCTGTCTTCACAGCTGATGTGTAGGGTCTTGATTTGGTGCCTGGCTGGGCACACACCTGTAATCCCAACATCCTGGGGGCTGAAGCAGGAGGCTCGCAAGTTTGAGCCCTGCCCGGGCAACTTAGAAATTTAATGAGACCCTGTCTCTAAACAAAATTTTTAAAAGAACTAGGGCTATAGCTCAGGGCAAAGGCCCTAGAGTCAGTTCCAAGTACTATGGGAAAAAAAAATGCTTCTTAAGAGAAGGAATACACAACTTGTTACATGAAATCATAAAGGCAATAGAGATAATGAAGTATGCTCAAAATCATAAAAACGTTCCCACAAAACAGGAAAGCCACTGCTTTCAGCCAGCTGGGGACAGAGGTGGGCAACTAAGTAAAGCTAAAATGCAGAATTGCAAAACATATTCTCTAAGAAGGTCCACAATCTTTTATTAAGAGACCTTAAGATTTATCGACTAAATGAAACACATGGATTTTGTTTGTAGCCCGATTTAAACCAACAGTTTGCTTTTTCTTTAATGAGACCATCAAGGAAATTTAAACACCTACTGGATTACAAATGTTATTTAGAAATGACTATGCTTTTTCAAGGTGTGATAATACCAAGGGGATCATGTTTTTAAAAGGCATCATTCTGCGGAGATACGTAACGATATCTTTATACATGGAATGCTACACACCTGAGACCCATGGCAAAATAACCCAAGGAGGGAAAGGACTGAGTGGGTGGAACTATACGTGAGATGAGAAAAGGCCACGGGCTGAGAGACTGGTGCTAGACGTAACTCTCTACCTTCACAAACCTAAGGAAGTTTCCACAGTAGAAATTTTAAGAAGAGTAACCATAATGTCAATCCACAGTTAATTTTCTTACCTTTGCCCTGCCAGAGGAAAATAACCGAGTGGTATTTTTGGTCATACAGGGATACATTTTTGGGATACATTCATTTCTACAGAAACCTGCAGCACAGGGCCAAGTGTCTTGTCTTCCCTGTCACCATGCCCATCGGGTATTCACAAGCTTTGTGTCTGCTTCCACCCTGGGCCTCAAGATGCTTCTGTCTGCCCACCTTGCCTTCCACTGCCCCTCTCACCCCCTCCCCCCACCGTGGCTGGATCCTCCTTGTCTCTCCGGTCCCTTGCTATCCTTGATGGCACTGGTGTCCCCGGGTACCAGGTCACACCTCTCCTTGCTCTTGGCACTAACACCAATGGCCTCTTTCAGGTGCACACCGCCCTGACCCTTCTCGGTCCTCTTTTCTTTAAAGGTGGTCACTTTCCCTGTGGATCCCATTATGTCCACTTCCCCCTTGAATTAGTCGCTCTTGCTGCTGTGAGCTCTTCTCTTCCTGAAAGGCAACTGATCACGGGGTGCTGTGCTCCTCAGTGGATTAATCCACTGTTGCCTTCACAGCTGATTTACCACCAGGAGGTAGGGTCCGGCGGGAGGCACTGGGTCCCCTGGGGGCATGGCATGGAAGTCACAGCCCCCTCTCTGGCTCCTTCCTCTGCTCTCTGCTTCCAGACTCCCATGATGTGAGTAGCTTTCTTCCGCTGTACCCCTCTGTGATTCCTTTCTGCCTGCAAGCTGAGTGACCACAGGCTGAAACCTTGAGCCGAGATAAACGTTTCCTCCCATAAGCTGTGAGTGGGGATATTGTGTCCCTGTGATGAGTAACGTGACTAAGACACCTACTCAGAGCCCCCTGCACATTTCCAAGACAAACAACATAAAATCTGTGTGCCTACTGTGTGCCTTGTACAGTGACAGACACAAATAAGACATAGACCTGCTCTCCTGAGGCACGTGACCTAGTGCATATGAAATTAAAATAGGCTCAAATGTCCACAGACCTTCCAGACCATGGTGTGACTCCTGTATCCGCCTCTGTGTCCTCAGGACTTCATGCAGTGCCCAACACGTGACAGATCCTTAACAAATACCTGGCAAGAAAAATGAATGACTCTCAAGTCTGTGCGCTGGTCTCAGCAGTAGTTGAAGCCCACGTCGGATGCAGTCACCCTAAACCCTCCAAATGAAAGGCAGCTGAAAAGGCTTTCAGACGAGAAGCTCTGTGATGAACAGACAGAGCCAGCCTCTGGGACTGTGTGTCGCCGAGGTAGGAAGGAAGGAAGGAAGGCTCCCAGACCCAGGCTTGCTATGACCAGCTAAAAGCAGCTGTGGGTGTGCTTGGCTTCTGTCTCTTTGCTATTCTGGATCGTCTGGTCCCTCCTCCTCCTGACAGCCTCCTCCCTTCACTCTTCCAGCTGCAGTGGGGATAAACCTCAGTCCCCGCCCGTCCCCTGCTGCTCTGAGCATGTGGCTTCCTCTCGCCACGCCACTGACGTCTTTCACTTCCTATCTCAGCCCTGCATGGAGCGGCCTGACTGCTGCGCTACCCTTGTTTTGCAGAGGCAAGAACGTCACGTCAGCCCTGGTCCCAGCCAGGAATTCCGCCAAGAAACCAGCACAAGGACCAGCTCTTCAAGGGGCCCTAGGTGCCCACAAAGGTGGGATACTGATTCCAAGAGGAATACTGCTTCCAGTCCCAAGCCGACACAGACACATGCACCAAGCACTCCAAACCCGGTTCTGGGAGCACGGAGGACGGCCGGATTCAGGAAGATGCACCAGGCCGGCTGCAGGCAGTTTCTGCAGGGGCACCCTCAGTGCCTCAGCATGAAAGGGGACAGGGAGGTCAGAAGTGGCAAAACAGGGATTGTGGAAAGAAATATGCCTCAGGGTTGGCACTGCCTGCTCCTGTCCTGGGGCTAGCTTGGGTCCATCCAACCTCTGCTGCGCAAGTGTGGGAAATCAGGAGCTCAGGAAGGGCAGCTTGTCAGACCTCAGCCACAACCCAGCCCTGCTCAGGAACTGAGGGCTCCTAGCTCAGACACAAGATGGGAGTCCTCCTGCCTCCAGAAAAAGGGCCGAAAATGAAAGCAGTTTCCCAGAATCAGCATTACCATTTCTGAGGCTGACTAATAATCTACCATCTTAAATGCCAGGTATCTCTCATGGCTTCACGAAGGCAGGCCCAGTGCAGAATCACCAAGAACGCTGGTGATCTGGCACAGTCATAGGGGGTATCCCTAGCTGAGATCCAAGCACTGTAGCAGTGATAGGCAACTTCTATATTTGTGTGTGTGCACAAGCGTGCTCACGTGTCTGTGTATCTGTATGATGTTGAGGATTGGACCCCGGGTCTTCACACTGAGCTACATCCCTAGCCCTTTTTTATGTATTTATTTATTTCCATTTTGAGACAGTCTCACTTAAATCCCCAAGTTGTCCAGGATGGGTGTGAATTTGCGGTACTCTTGCCTCAGCCTCCCAGAGTGCTGGGATTCTAAGCATGAGCCACCACACCCAGTATCTTTCATACCCTAATGAACAAAATGATAAATTATTTAAACTTGCAGGTCATACAACCTCTGTTCCAACTACTCAACTATGCCACTGTAGCATGAAACCAGCCACACATAATACATGAACAGTGGACATGTCTATGTTCCAATAAAGCTTTATTTAAAAACAGGCATCTGGCCATGGGCCATAGTTTGCCAAGTTCTGGTCAACTTGCTCTTCTACTGTTTTCATGCTCCAAAGAGGAACAGAGGTTATCACATACCTGAAGACTCTCACCCACTCCAGAGACTGGGCCTATTCTGGGGTGCAGGGCACGATCCCTGCTACTCCCCCTTACAAGGCACTAAAGAAATCCAAGCTGCTTGTTCCAAAAGCCTGGCCGGGGTCAGAAACCTGAGCAAAGGTGGAAAAAGTTATAGATACCAAATCTGAGAGCTTTAGACTCTGAGAAACTAGACCCCTTAGAGTGGACAGTAAGGCCTGAAAAGAAAGTAGCATGCCCAAGATCACAGAGCAGAAAAATACGTAAGCTCAAATTTGAACTTCAAGAAAAGATATGGTTTGACAAAAGATGTGGATGGTTGGCAGAACCAGTCCAGGAGTCCAGGTGAGCCCTGGGATAATAAACAAACAGAAGGCATGCAGTCCTAAGCCCTGGGACCTATCACCCCACCACCACAACCACTGTGAAACTTTCAGCTGCGTAATCCAGCAGCGTCCAGATTACTGCTCAGAACGGCCTTCTACTGCACACATCTGCCTGCCATACACCTTTGCATCCCTTCCACATCTTGGAGGGAGCACACCTAAAGCAATCAGACAGGATTCTCTCAAACCAGTCTAGATGCTGGTTTCCCTACTGCATCAATCCCGAAGGCTCACAACTCCAGCACCTTCTCTCCCCCACGTCTGTCCGGTCCACTGCAGAGCCTCTCTGAACTACAGGCCCCTCTTTTCTCTCTACAAGCACAGGCTCCACCCTAACCCTCACCTCCAATCTGATACACTGCCAGTTCTGCTTCGGGCCCCGGATGCCAGGCTTATAGCAATGCCAGATCTTCCTCCATACCCTCATCTCCCTGCCACCCACCACCACATCCTCCAGGCCAAGGCCCACTCTTACCCTCTCTGGCTCCCCGGTTCCCAGACCCTCACTAGCATACTGCGCCAAACCCTGAAGGGATGAATCCTACTTTCACCATGAGTCAGGAACACTCAAGAAACCTCAGCTTTCCTTGTTCCTATGGTGTCGGAGCTCCAAGTCGCTTACCCTTCCCACCCTCAGCTCCTACCACCATAGAGCGAGCTCTCAGCGCTGCCAAACCCATCTATGCCTGACCCTCCTCTGCACCAGCCATCCCTGCATCCACATCTCTGCCCACGCTCTGCTCACCCTGCCCTGCGATGACGTCCACACCCTGCCCCCATCTACTCCAACTCCTACGCAACTGCCGACTGCCAAGCTCTGGGGGACACATGCATGCAGAAAAGGAACAGGTGATAAAACCAGGCAAGGGTGGCATAAAAGGGATATATGGGGGTCTCCAATCCCTGGGAGCATCATCCTCCCCATGGGTCGCAGGCGATCAGAGAAGGAAGAGGCAGGGGGAGGAGCCAGATTTTTCCACTGAAGGAAAGGCATGATTTTCATCACTGCTTCTGTTGCCCTGGTAACCAGGGACAGCCCAGTGGAGAGTACAGTAAAAGAACACCATGTTTATCTTTGCTGTCTGATCCACTTCCCTGCACACCCTTCCCTGACCACCTACCCCTAGGCCTGCTCCAAATTTCTTATAATGTAACCACCATGCTCCTGTCTCTGTTGCCCCAAATCCCAAGGGCAGAACTCATTTCTCTCCCTTTACCCAGACAGTTGTGCCATGCATTCTACTGCCTGCCATACCTTGCAGGTCGTCTCACCACACCCACCTGCCACGCCAACAACTGGCCTCAAAAGACAAGAATGGCATCCACTCTACCACGTGGGCCCCTGCCGAGGGGAAAGAAAGGGAGGAGCAGGGAGAAAGACTCCAGCCCACCTCTCTCTCAGCCCCAGGCAGCCGGTGTAGAACGGGCCTGGGTCCTCCCAGCCCCCTCTCGATGCCTGGGATCAGGACCAGGGGCCAGGCCGGGTCGGGGAGCAGGTCGGCCCCCAGGCTCGCATAGATCCTGCCTCCCACATGGACATAGCGTCTGCATGACCCGAGAAGAGACAGAGCCCTCGCCCGGGAGATTATATAAGTGTTATATAACATGGTGGCACCAATAAGCACAGAGACACAGCGAGTGCCAGGGACAGGCCAGGGGTGGAAACAAACCCGAGGAGCAGGAAGTACAGCCCTCTTGTCACTGGTGCCCAGAAAGTGTCAGGCCCCAGCTGCCTCAGCCCTGTCTGTACCTGCTGTGTCCACCCCGGAGGGCATGGAGGGTCTTGCCTGCTTTGCGTTCTTCCCAAGCTGGGCAGAGGGAGGGGTGCAGCACCACCACCACCGGGAGGCCCTTCCCACGGGGTGGAGGGGGTCCCGGGCAGGGGAAGGGCGATGGCCAGAGCCCCCTCCTCTGTCCTCCTACCAGAACGCGCCTGTCTGGGGAACAAGTGTTGCAGCCGCTCTAGGATTGGCTGGGCCCGCTGTCCCTCTGCTCTGTCATTTGCTGCTCCTCTAAAAAACAAAACAAACCGAAAGGGAAAGAGAAAAAAACAATAAGCACATTTCGCAAATACCAAATCCTAAATTCTGGTCTAGGGTTGCGAACAAAGCTGGAAGGAAAAGGTTCTAAGTGGACCCCGTATTTCCCTGCAGCCCCACCCCACTGTTTCTTGGCCAACTCACCCCCCACCTGGCTCGCTGCCCCAGCAGCTGCCTCAGTTGCCCCAGCTTCCTCCGCAGTGGCCTCCATCCCCCACCCGACCCCACCCTAGCCGGGCAAGGGGTCAGAACCCTAGGCGCCCTCGGGCCAGGCAGCCAGCGTGGGGGAGTTCGGGGCCAGTTCCCCATCAAACTCCTCCACCGCACCGCCGCACCCACTTTATTGATTCTGGGGCTGCGGGACGCGGAGCCGAGCCCGGGGAATCTCCTGCCCGGCACCTGCCGCTCTCGGCCTTCCCGTCTCCCCCACCCCGCGCACCTCCGCCCCCGAAGACACACGCAGCAGAACGCGCGGACACCCCGACCCGGCGCGCCGGGCGCGCCCCAACCACCTGTCTGGGCAGCCGCCGACCCCGCGCGCTC